AATAACTGTCTGCAAGGATAGTTGTATCTTGCAACAGTTCCCACTGGAAATGGAAGGATTATTGTTTGCTTTGTGATAGAGGTAGATGCCACTGAGTAGCAGCCACTTAGCTGGTTTCTGTCCTGCAGGAATATTGTGGAGACATGGCATAGGATTGAAAAGATCCCTAAATATCTTCCATACGGGTGAGCTGAAAGCTATGAATCAAAACTGTCTTCAGGTAAGGGCAGGTGGTGGTCTCCTGGGCCTTACTGGTTTAACATAAACCTGCAAAACATGTGCAAGTATCACATTATTTTTGGTGGTGGTTATTGTTGTATGCACTGAGTCTCTGTGCTACAGTGTGGCTGTTTTCAACTTTCATTTACTTGCTCTGGAAAGTGCTCTTCATCTCCTTTTTCATTGCAGCCCTTGTCTACTTGTGCTGTAAGGCAGCACAGCACATCAAGCAGCTCAAAGATCATACACAGTAGAAAAATTCTTACTGAGATTTAGGTATCTTGCTCTGACCATTGTAGATTCTACTATCACCTTTTCTTTATTGTCAAAGTTGTCCTTGCCCTTTGAGGGAAAAAGTCTTGTATTAATCTAGAAATCCCACCCATTCTGTCATCCAGATCCTAAGATCTTATCTGCTCCAGATGGAAATGGGTGAACAGTTCTGACTGCATATACCTCAAGACTGGCCAGCCTAAATCCCAGGAAACCCTGCAAATACAGGGAGTGCAAGACAACAATGAATAGGGCTTTAGCACATTGCCTGGCCTGCATTACTGTAGCCAGTGGGAATAAGGTTGTAGCAGCCTGGCTTTTCACAAAACCCTACTGCTTTGTGCTGCCAGGTGTGTTATAATAACTTGGCCATGTGTGATGAGGGAAGGGGTCTGATAGGAAAAGCTTTTAGGATGAAGATGTGTGAATAGAGGAAGTCCATAATTAACAATAATGACCTGCACAGGTGACATTTCTTTGCAGTTAATGACTGCTGGTGTGAAAAGCCCCGAGGCAGAGCCTCAAGCTGCTAAACTAGCAAGTGAATTGCTAGACTATTTGACCTGTGGTTCATTCCTGATATAAATGGTGAGGTTATGAAAAAAACCTGACCATTTTGTTCATAGGGACTTCTTCTTGGGCTGTGTGGGAATGCCAGCAATTTTGTATTTGGGATTGAAGCAGATGTCTTGTGTTGGCAGTAGGGTTTGCTCCAACTCCTTAGGAAGATAAAGAACTGTAATCACCTGCATCTTCTACAGGGGAAACAAAGAAAGTCCTATATCCCTAAGAAACTGTAAATAATTGTGGTTAAATTCTGCAGTAGGAAGACTATAGAGATTTCCACCCTTAGGGCCAAGTGCATGGGATGGAAAAACAGTGATGCTGAAATGGGTGATGGCACCTGAGCTATGCCTTCTTGCAGTGCCTTTATGCCTGGAGATTCCTTCTCTAAGTCTTCTGACAAAAAGGGATGGAAAAATATAGATGGTTCTGAGTAATTCTGCAAGCAGGGGTATAGGGCTTGTGGCCAGGAGCAGGATGGGGTAGCTGTTTGCCAGCCAGACATTGAAGTGGTGCTCCCTGAATGTTCTTTTATAGGTGATTCAGAAAGGGGTCATGGTCTGCACATCTGGTCTTGCCAAAGCAGCCAAATTATTTCTACGAGTGCAGTACGACCCTGGTCTTTCAGTGTGGAATGCAGCAACTAGGTAAGGCTGGGGTTATGGCAGGGAGGCTCACGTGTCATAGGCTGAGCTGGGTAACCATTTTAGATGGAAACTGGTTTTAAATCGAGAACATGGATTCTGTAAGTCCTGACCACTTCATAAATTCAGTGTTGGCTACCTTATTTGCGGAAATATTCTAAAGGCCCTTAAATGTTCAGGCAAGCAAAAGCGAATGCTTTGTTTTCAAAGGATAGATTAAAATACTCCCCTGTGCTGAGCTTTGAGTAGAGATTGTTCCCAAAGCTTTTTTACCTGATTACCAGTTCACCATAAAATCCATTATTGCCCACTTTTAATCCTGACTATCGAAACTGTCTCCACAGATTGCCAAGTGAATAGCTACAGATGTTGTTTATTGTGCTGAACACAGTGAGACACACTAACAAATCTACTGTACCAAGAACTAACCTATTACGTTTAAAGAAGACTTTGTGAGCTGAAACAAGTATCTTTAGACTTCAGTCTGAAATACAACATACTACTGTGTTTTCCACATGGCTAGCAATTTTACTGCATGACACAACAAATCTCAGTGCGAAACAGCTGGGTTTTTTCTCTACTAAAAAAATTGACCTGTTGCAGTATAGTATATGGGAACTGGACTGAAGGAGTGGACTTCCTGTGACTGTTTTTTCATGAAGCTTTGCAGACAGAGACTTTGATACCATCTTATTCTCTTCATGAGGTTCGACATCATTAGGAGTCATCCATTTAAAAAGTCATCAGGCTTACAAAGCTAAGCTGTATCACAGACTCAAAGAATCATTAGGGTTGAAACTGATCTCAGTGGCTTTCACTGTACCCTCATTCAAGATTCTGTGTTTTAGAGAAACCTCGACTATAAATTTCTGTAGTGGAAACCTGTTTGCTTAACTTGAAATATCAGTTTGTTTCTATGGAAGAAATATTAAATTTAGTGTGAAAGAGGAAACCCCAAAGACTAAATGAAAATAACAAAAGAGATATTACTTACTGAAAGAAAATTAATTGACAAAATTAAACCACAGACCACGAATTAGATTCTCCATGGAGCTCAACTCTGATTAAGCAACTGTGTAAACAGAGGCACAGAAGAGCTCAGCCTTTCTCTGCTCCCATGCTTTTCTGTGGGAGCAAACAGGCATAGCCAGTCTCTCAGTCTGGCCCTTTTGCACCTTTTTATTTGCATTTGTTATTCATTCTAGTTCATCACTAATTTATGAGATGCATTCAGTGTGACCTAGCACATTTGGTGTTGTACGTGACATGTAATAGCTTTGCTATGATGAGGTGGAATGGTTGGAGTAGGTCCCCTCCAGAAACCAGTGTTGATGGGAGAAATCATCACTGGTACCGTCTTAATCTCGAGTAACACTGTGCCTAGTTCTGACTCTGAATGTTTTAGCAATGGCTGTCATCTCCTTGCAAGGTATATATTTGAGTGTTTTCCTACAAATGAATGGATTTGTATTTCCTCTTTAAGTATCTTTTTCAACTGAGACGCTTGAGAGTTTCCAGTATGATCAGTGTTATGTTAAAATTGTTTTTCACGCTGAAAAAACAAAGTGATGTACTAATTGTACTGGGGACTGTGAATTAATTCCCTGATGTTACAACTTGGTCCCTTCCTACTCACAGGGATGAAAAGGAGAGTCCTGTCTTCTGCTTCTCACAGAACAGCAGTCACAGCATGTTGGACTGCTTGAGTGCTAGTGGGAGGGGATGGTGGGCTAACAGTTTAGATGGAGTTCTATTTGGATACTTGAAACTCCAGGTGAAGCAAACTGACCCCAAGATGAGAGGGTGTGTGAGGGAATGTGGAACATTCAAGCCTAGCAGAGTAAGCAAAGCATTAGCAGGTTTGTTGCCAAGCCTGCTAATGAGGGGAAAGTATTTTAATAGGGAAATCCCATGAAGAGAAGGACTGCCTGAAGGTAAAGATATTCCTGCACTCAGGTTTTGCCACTTCTATTCTTTTTATGGCACTGGGGAAGCCCTTTCTTTGTTGTGTCCCCATTTGTAAAATCACAGCTGGGAAAAGCAGTATCTGTATGCAGGCCTGTGATTACCTCCCTGCCTCATCTTTTCTTGTCCTGTCCTATTTCATGCAGATCTTATCTTTAATCTAGTGCTGTTCCCTTTCCTGGAGTTTCAGTTCCTGGTGCCATGAAATGTTGAGTGTGCCAAGGAGATGCCATGGACCAAGTGGACATCACTAATGGCAGGCATGTGCACTTATAAGGTACTACCATGAAGAGCTCAGACTCTTGTGTGGTTTGAACTGAATAAAAATAATCTGTAAGGATGTACAGTCCCTTGTTTCCTGTTTGCATGATTTAAGTTGCTAATTTGAGCTAGTGGCTTGGAAGAAAAGAAATCAAGTTTTATTACCTGAGCTATTTTAGGTGGACATTGCAAGGAGGTGGATATCTGTCATCATAAAGAACTGAAAAATGCAAATGTTGAGGCAGGCTATTTATCTCCAGGCTCTGTTCTGCCTGTTTCCCAAAGTGTATTTTCATTGGCGTTGTAGGAAATGGGTGTAAAATAAATGTAGACTAACATCCTATAATCTCCTTTATCTCACTCACAAAAAGCTAATATCAGCAATAAGTCAACCCCAGGTCATTGCATGCAGTGGGTAAGTTTGTGTTCCTGAGAGAAATAAAGAACCATCTGAAGTGTGATGTGTCTAAAAACCCGTATAAATAACTACCTTATCCTGTAGTATAGGCATCAACAATGACCTCGTATCTGAGCTCTGCTTGGCCTGGGGGGATTTTTTGTTTGCTTTCTAAGTTTTCCAGAAATGTCTCTGCAAGCTGATATAAAAGACTGATGCTGGGTCTCTTATGCTAGAGAAAGCACTTCTATTCTGATGGTGCTGAATCCCTCGTTCCAGTTACTTGAACAGTTTGGCTGGTGTTTGGAAAGTAATAATCAGCTGTGGAAAAAAATCCTATTCCTGTGTAGCCACTGCAGACTGCAACATTTTCAACAGTGACTTCACCCAAGCATGTGCTTAGTGTGTGCATGGAAAGATGAATTTTCAAGGGTGATATATTTTCCACTAATGGCTGTCACACAGCAGTAACTTGAATTCCAGCTAGGGACATTATATCAAGCTTACCTGATTGTAGATTGTGCTGGGAAATACACTCTGTGTAGGTGTGGCATACTAAATTATCTTTGTGAGTCAGTAGGTGGTAACTTTGAGCCTGCTGCATATCTGACCCAGTTGTGAATATAGCCAGTTTAAGGGCTGATGTACTATCATACTAATCTGTATTTTTTAGCAGGCAATGTCTCTGAGCATATATGTGATATATCTGACTTGGTGAATGGCCACTGGGATGCATTCGAAGCCTAATGGAAACCACTGACTTCCAAGGGCCTTGCATCAGGCCCTGTAAGCCAGCCCAGCCAGTCATCAGGGAAGACTCAATGTAGGTAAAATCTTCCTGCCCTTTGGTCATGTCCCAAAGAGAGCAGTTATCTCTGTCAGACTGCTGTGTTGTATTTACCTATGAATAAAACGAGGTGGGAAACTCATGGTCTTGAGACTGGAACAGATTACAATTTTACTTCTTCCACAGTCTACTGTGGTTTGGTTAGTTTGGGTTTTCGATGCATTAGTGCTGGATGAAACAGAAGTGCATGTGAGTATGTGATCGGCAAAAGCTGTTTGCAAGCTCTTTTGGCCCTTAGCACAGGAAAGGTTTCCAGCCCCTCGAAGAAGAGGTAGTAATTGTAGCTATTTTCTGATCACTGTATACTCTACCATGCCTGCTGTAACTCAGTCTTTTACCTGGCTGGAAATCAGCACAGTCTTTCAACAGACCATGCTCTGCAGGATCACATATTTTTTCTTCAAAGGACAAGACAGTTGGTAAGGTTTGGAAAGCTGGCAGTGCACTGCTGCAGGCTAGCTAGTGCCCAGTACCACAGGGGGAAGGGTGAGGTAGGATTCAGCATCTCCAGAACTGCACTTCAGGGTGAGAAATAGCAAGAATTTTGAAACATGACTCAGAAGGAAAGCAGGGCTGCCTCTCTAGCTGAGATGGCATTTCTGGAGAAAGAGATGAGACAGTGAATGCTTATCTGTTGAGTTAACAGAATGCCTAATGGGAAGCAAAACTGATCATCTGATTAGCATTGGCATGTTATCCTTCAGCAGCAGGTTGCCTCAGGCAATGCGCATGGAGCTGTTCATTCCGCACAGGTTTCATGTTTATCTCCTGCTTTGATTTGCTTCACTTGTTTCTCATTTGGTGGGAGATAGAATCAATAAATCTTGAATACAAGTTGCTCAGCAGAGGTCTGCACTATTTTTATTCTTTGTGAGCATGCATAGCTGCACACCTGTCTGCCTGGACTGTGCCATTAGCTTGTTTGCTCTTAGTGTTGTGCTGCTTTTGGTATCAATGGGAACACTCTCACTGCTGCTGGCCATGTTTTTATCCTTATTTTTTAAGAGATGAGTCCCCACTGTGCAGATCTTCAACTGTGTGTGCTGTTGATGAAGCCACATGAGTATCACCACAAGCCCAGAGCCTGATGGTCAAAATACTGTAGGTGAAAGAGACATTAGTACAACACAGAGAATCCCAAGCATTGGTTTATGACACTCAGCCACTGTGATCCAAGTTCCCTTTTTTCTCCTGTGCTAAATCTAGTAAGTTTTTTATTCTGATTACCACATTAAAAACATCTCTTGAAAGGACAAGTGAAATGTTGTCTGAGACATTGGTTTGCCTGTTTGCACTTGCTTGCAAAAATCTTCATCGTAACTGCTAAAAAATGTTTGAGTTCTGGTTGGTATGCAACCATTCCTAAATAAAAGATACCTATGCTTCTCTACTAATTTTATATGAAACTAGGAATGGGAAACTTCCCTCCACTTTTCTTGAGTGTTCTGGTCTAGAACCCACTGTGTGGTGAACAAGGAGCCCAAGTGAGATAATGCTGCTTGTGGCCCTTTTCTCTAAAACCTGTTTATGAGTATTTGAAGCAAATCAGAGCACTCCCTCATGGGGGAAAGCATATGTCAGGAAGAGTAATGTATAGGCTGTCTATTTACCTGTTCTGCATTGTTCATTGTAGGATGGGGATGATTTGTGGTACTGTTGTTTCTCTAGAATTTAGAGAACTAGCAGCAGAGATAGCCCCCTTGAGTTCAAACCCTTCCTAAAATTTGGGCATAATATATGTTGGAAGTGGTCTCTGGAGTTCTGTAGTCCAATCCTTTGCTCAAAGTAGGTCCTGTGAAAGGAGGTTTCTTGGGTTTTGTCTAGATGAGTTTTCCCAGGAATGAAGATTCCACAGCCTCTCTGGACCATTGTGCCAGTGTCTGACCATGCTTAAATCAGGATATTTTCTCTGTGCTGCAGGATTAGTAGCAGAGGAAGCAAAAATGGTTATCAGATACTGGCAGCTCTCTGATATTTCTACCGTTAATGCTGAAACATTTCAGGCTTCTTCAGGACTGAAGGCAAATAATATATATCTTCATGTCTTCAGTGAGATCAGAGATGCCAACATTGGCTGTGTTGGAATACAACGTTCCATACACGCCCAAGTAGGTATGTAACTAATATATAAGCCAGCTTTTCAAATAGTTGCCAAAGGATATAATGCAGGCTGAGCACACAGAGGAAGCTTGCCATGTCCTTGTAACTCTCCCCTGAGCTATGGTGATTGGCCACTTTGAATTTACATGTTTATTGAAGGGTTGTTGGAAAAAATTACTTGAAAATAGCAGTTGGGTACCTTTGACAGCGCAAATAGGAACTTATCAGCATGTGTTATGCTTAAATAGTGACTAGCAATAGGGTTCTAGGTTATTTATAATATCTGCAAATAAATTGTGGATTGTGTCATTTAAAGGTAGAATTCCCAGAAACTATGATACAGTTTTCAAAGACTTCATTAATCAGAATTATGTGTCCTTATTGCCCATCATTAAAATAATCAGAGTAAAACTACAATTTCAGTCCCTCTTACTCAGCAATAATTGATTTAAACTATAATTTTGTAGAGATTAGTGGATTGTCTGTTTTAAGAAACTGCAAAAAAGCCTGATTTCCAGAGAAAAGTTGATCATACACCTTCTGTAAGCCATGTCCATGTAAGTGGAAATGTTGACTTCTATAACTTAGAATTACTTTTATATAGGCAAACCCTTTAAGTGGGTAATGAATTATTTCTTTTAATCTGACCAAATACTGCAGTTCAGTTACAACTGTTGTCTACACAAGTAGGATGTAGTACCTTAGACATTTGTCATGTGAGCTTGCTGCAGCAGAGAATTAGTGTTGAAAATGCTCATTCCCACCCTCTCTTTTGGTGCTGATGTGAGTCAAGCTTACTAAAATTAATTTGCATGGGGAAAACTGCCTTTCTGCCAAGAGATAAAGATGATAATTTTTTAATCACTACAGTTATGTCATAAATTATGTCATGTATTTGTCCAGAAGCCTAACCTTTCCAGAGTAAATGTCTTTGTGGTTTAACCCTAGCCAGCAACGAAGTGCCACACAGCCACCCACTTACTCCTTTCCACACCCCCAGTGGCATGGGGAGGAGGATTACAAAAAAAGTAAAACCAGTGTATTGAGATAATTTCGAAATAAAATACAATAAAAATATAATAATTATAATAATTGTAGCAAAAAGGGAGACAAGAGAAAGAGAGGAATAAAACCCAAGAAGGACAAGTGATGTACAATAGAATTGCTCACCACTCACTGACTGATGCCCAACCAACTCCCCCAGGTTTATATACCAAGCATGATTTCTATTGTATGGAACACCCCTTTGGCTAGTTTGGGTCAGGTGTCCTGTCTCTGATCCCTCCTGGCTACTTGTGCCCTTCCTCATTGGCAGAGCACAAAAGACTGAAAAGTCCTTTACTTGAGGTGCTACTTAGCAACAACTAAAACATTAGTGTGTTATCAACATTATTCTTACGTTAAAATGCAGTGCTGTATCAACTGCTAAGAAGAAAATTAACTATCCCAGCCAAAACCAGGACAGTATATGACTCTTTTGTGGTTTCCACATTGTAGCTGCAACAACTGACAGCTGAAAACATCATTGTGAGCCTGTCAGATGTGCTGTCTGCATAACTAGTGATAATCTAACTATTCTTCAGATTCACAGATCAAACTGCTGGGAACTGATACTTCAGTGCTTGTTATTGTCAACAGTAGGTGGAATTGACTAATGTAGTTTGAGTGTCAGATGCCTGTGGTGTTGACAGAAATATTAACCATAAATCAAACACAGCACAATGGTGGTGCCAGGCTACATCATAAGGCAGGATCTTGCAAACCAGACGGGGCCTGCTTAGGCCTTACTCGTGGGAATGTTTCCTTTGGCTAACAGAAGTAAGGATCAGTAAGCTGGGGCTCTAGCCATTCAACTTAAAACTGGGAAGGACTGAACAAGTGATGCGTGAAATGGCCGTGTGCCCTGCCGTCTGCATTCCTCACATGCAATGGCTGATAAAGAACAGGGAATATCTCATCCCTGGTTAGGCATTCTCGCTTCTGCTCGCATCTGGCTTCAGCTGTAAAATCTTTCAGTGACTGCTGGGCTTGCACTTGCTGTATTAAGTGGTGTTTTCAGGGCTGACATTTAAAAATACCTTGATTTAGAGCCAGCTTGTGACATTTTTTTTCTTGCAGCAAAGGAGAAAAAAGTTGCAAAAAAGGATAGCACTAACAGCATTTTGTCTGTTCCTTGCACACACAGTGAACTGAGCAAGGGAAAGTGTCTGATTCCAGCCTCCATGTTAGCAAATGAACCAAGACCGGGAACTGTTGGTGGGAGGATTATGAGGAAATGTTTGGGTACTTCATGCAGTCAACTTGCTTGACTGCTAACTTTATTTAATGTCTTATGGTCCTTCTAGTTGCCACTGTCATACATACTGTTACCTTTAGTGACTCTTCCAGCACAGTTCCTTTGGTGACAGGCTTGGTCAATTCTCTTTTCATAATTAGGTCCTAAATTATCACAAGTGTTATATGCTCTTGAAGGTCTTTACATTTGGTTTAATCACTGTGTCAAAGGGAGATGATGCAGAAAGAGCAAACAGTGCCAAGTTGTGGGACAGAGATCTGATTATAGCTAACTCTACCTGAAAAACCTTTGGGGAAGGGAACTGCAAATTTTTATTTTTGCAATTATGTGGAGTATTTCAGCAGGGAGTCAGCTAACAATATTTAGAGAAATTCAGCAAGCACAAAGCATAAAGCCAGGAGCTAAGCAAAGTACAGACATTTCATTATAAATTAGTGTTGGAAATTAGAGACTGGCTGTGAAATAGCCACAATTAAAATTCAAAGAGCAAAGAAGAAACAGCTTACTTAGTGACCTCTGCTTGCTGCACAGGATTAGAAAAGAAGCTGTGCTACTTTAGTATTCTAACATAACTTGTGCATTAC